GAATGGGCAGAGGAGGGGAGAAATGGGAGGAAGATTGCCTGATCCAAATCTTGCTTCCATTGAGGGTAAAATATTTTCCACAGGGACTGGGCACAGCTGAGGTTCGGATGGAGGCGGCATCTGAGCCACTGGAGGGCTCAGTTAGACAGAAAGCTGCTATAGTCTCTCCTGTTGGGCAGAAAGCTCCTTTACACCGGGCCCATCGCGGGTATGATGGGCACTGAAGGTCCCTCAGTGCCCCCCCCAAGTTACCCCTTAACACCTCAGGGTATATTCAGTTTCTTCCCATTCCCCTACCAGCACCCTGTCATGCCTTCCCCAAATCCCTAATTAGCCCGACACCCCTAATCCCTGGGGCTACAAGGCCTGCCTTACCTGATGCCAGTTTGGGGAGGTATTTTTCTTTCTGGGCCTTCGTGCCAAAGAGCAGGATGCCTTTGAAACCAATGCTCTGGTGGGCCCCCAGGGTGATGCCCACACCAAGGTCGTGCATGCCCACGATCTCCACCAATCTGGCGTACTGGAGGGGAAGCAGGCTGTAACTGGTGGGCAGAGCCCGACCTGGGCATTCCCAGGAGAAGGGAAGTGGGACCATGGCCGGGAAGGGCACTGGCTGGCGGGTGTCCAGTCCAGGTCATGATGGCTTCCTACCCTGTCAGGTAGTCCCCACTTACACGAGATTCACTAGGATTTGGGAACCTGGGTGGGGGTCCATGGCCCTAGGGGACTGTATGCAGTTCAGTGATGTGTCTGGAGGGGGTGTGTACATATCTTGAGAGTCCGTATCCCGCAGGTCCCAGGGCAGGGACTGGGCACACTAGCCCCAGGATGAAGGAGCTGAACCTGCCAAGCTGAGTAGACCATAGACCTGGATGCTGGGAAGCAGCTGCGGGGCTCTCACCTGGGTGTTGCAGAGGCCCACGCCACCCAGTTCACTGGGTACTTGCAGACCAAAGGCGCCCAGCTCCTTGAGGCCCTGAATGGTGGCCTCCTCCACCTTCTCCAGCATGTCGTTCTTGGCAGGATCGTTCACCTCCTGGGAGGGCACAGGATCCCGCATGCAGGCTCCTTTAAAGGTCCGAACACCGCTCCCACCCCACAGGGACCAAGCCCGCGATTCCCCAGGCCCAGGTTATTTCTTACCTCGAAGAAACGGGACACAGGCCCCACCAGCTCTTTGAGAAACTGTGTCTGCTCCTCGTTGAGCACTGCGGGGGCAGCAGAGACAGGCCAGGCCAGGTGATCAGGGGAACCTGCCCCGCCCCCGCCCCTGTCCGCTCGGACTTGCCCTGCCCTTACCTGACGGGTAGGGGAACACCTGCTCTGTGGTGAGCTGGCCCTTGAACATGCCCACCGCAAAGGACTTAGATTCCTGCCACAGGGGAAGGAGGAGGTTTCAGGGAGCTGGCTGCCAGGGTGGCCCCTGGGCCGGGCCCGCCCCGCCCCTGGCGGCTTAGATCGGGGCCACATACCGCCTTGGCCGCTTTCTCCCCGGTCGAAGCCTCAGAGGGGAGCGAATCTGACTTGTCCAGAACCGCCTGGGGAAAGGGATAGTCAACGCGCTGGGGAAGGGTCTGCCGAAATGCCAAGGAGAGCGGAGGGGCAGAGCGAGGTGCCCGGAAGGGCAGACCCGGCGACCTCTCACCTACTTTCATGCCCGGGCACCCTGGCCCGCCCTTTCCCCCACTTTCGCTGCCAGAGCGGTCAGCGGGTCACTGCACCGAGAGGGAGACCCCTGTCGGCGGCGGCAGGGAGGTGGGGGCCCGGACGGTCGCCCACCCCAAGGCCACCGTCGCTTTCTTACCTGAGCGGCCCCACTGGCATAGGGTCGTTGAGCCGGGCCGGGCCGGGGGTGCCCCAGGATGGCACAGGGCCGTGCGCTGTGGGGGGTGGAGGGTCAGTCCTGGCCCAGCCCCCGGGCCCACCGCCCCCACCCCTCCGGGCATACACACACCTTCCGCCCCCCAACCTCAGCAGCTGCCGCCCCACGCTCGGGGCCCTCCTCGCCGCCTGCATCTCTGAACCGCCTTCCTTAGCCGCTGCCCTGAGCGCTGACCTCGCGCTCTGGTTCTGTCTGCGAAAGCCAGGGTCCTACCACCTCTGACTCATTCTCCACAATGCACCGGGCGGTGGGCGGGGCTTCCGGCCGCCGGGGCATGCTGGGAGCTGTAGTTTTGGAGCCCCCCCAGCCCTGCATTCTGGTTGACCTAGGGGTGATCTCCAAACGTCCCTTCTCTCCCCCAAACTCCTTCCTGCCACCTGTCCGAACTAGAGTGTAGCCCTCGGAAGGCGTGATCGGTTAGGCCGGGACTGAAGAGGGAGGAGCTTAGCAACTGCAGCCAGAGGGATGGAGGGTGGGCTGAAAGGAGCACTTACAGGTGGGTTAGAAAGGAGAGGCGGGGAGAGAAGTGTAAGCCGGATGCCAGAGACAGAGGCATGGAAGGATGACTCTTCGGTCTCCCTGGTGAAATTTACAAAAGGGAGGAAAATGGCGGGGTGGGGGACTCCAGCTGGGGTGTGAGTGTCCCGAGCATATTCTCCTGAGACCTAGGAGGTTCACTAATTTGGGAAACACCAACATTTGCACAGTAGGAAGGACCTCCTCTTCCCTCCTGGGTGCACTGCCTCCCCTTAGGCCTCTGAGACCTTCCTCAACACCCACCTCTCTGCACCTGCCTTCTGTTTCTTCCTGAGACATGTGCTCAGGCCAGGCCTGTGGGCAGATGGAGCTCTCCAGGCGGGAGAGGAACTGCAGGGATCCTCATGTCTCTTCCCTCTCCCACACTTCTCTAGCTCTGGGTCAAGAAGTCCCAGTGGCCCTGGCCAGTGTAGCTCAGTTGGTTGGACCAAAGGGTAGTGAGTTTGATTCCCAGTCAGGGTGTGGGAGGAGGCCCATTGATGTTTCTCACACTGATCTCTCTCTCTCTCTCTCTCTCTCTCTCTCTCTCTCTCTCTCCCTTTCTCTCTCTAAAAATTAAGTTTAAAAGAGTCCCAGGTAATTTATGCCCTTTTTGCCATTCCCACTGGGGCAGGCCCAGGAGGAGAGACAGAGCTGGGCTCGGCTTCCTCTGTTTCTGAGCTGTGGGAGCCTCCGTGGGAGGCAGCCATCTTCCTCAGTCCCTCAGGAAAGTGTAGCTAAGTTGTGACTGGCTTTGGGGAGAAGGGGCCAGGGTGTGTGGAGCAAGGTGATGGTGGTGGTGCCTGGAGACCTGGAGAAGAATGGGCTATCTGGTTGGTTCAGAGAGTGCCTTCTTTAGCTAATGGCTAAAACTGGGTTGGGAGAACACAGCTCAGCTTCAATCCTGGAGGATTAGGGAGATTAAAGGGAGAGAAGAGAGAGATGTCCGAGAGACCAAGAGGTGAAAAACAGGAGCCTTATGGAGGAGACCCCTGGGGGTGGAATGGGGGCTGAGACTTTGGGGATCCCTCTCCCTGAACCTTTCCATAGAGTCTGGGGTGAAAGGGCCAAGGCTGGGAAGATGAGGTGAGTACATTGGTCTCTCTGTCTCTTTCTTCTCCAACCCACCCTCCCTTGCATTTCACCAGCTCCCAGGTCAGCCCTCTGGCTCCTGGCCCCCCCTCTGCTGCGATGGGCACCCTCTCTCCTCAGGGTCCTGCACAGTGACCTTTTCCAGGCCTTGCTGGGTGAGTGGTCTCCCAATTTCCTAAGGAACAGTCGTGGAAAGGGCTGGCCTAGGCCTGTGAGGGCCATGACTGAACTTGGGGGCTGGGTGGGAGCCCGGAGGTCATGTGGTCCGAGCAAGAGCCTCGTGCAGGGGTCATCCCCACAGGGCTCCGTCCTCAGTGTCCACCAGCTTGGGCTGGAGGAGCGCCTCCCTTACCAGACAGCAGGAGGCAGGGTGATGGCTGGGGTGGCCAGGGAGGCGAGGGTGGGGAGTAACTCGGTGCTGTTCCTGTGGCAGACATCCTGGACTGTTATGAGGCTTCCATCTCAGAGAGTCAGGTAGGTAGGACGAGGGCCTAACTTTCCGAGGGTTGAGCAGAGTCCTGCTGATACTGAACTGACACTTGGGGACACAATCCCAAGCCAGGGGCACAGAGAATGCCTCTCCCGTCCCCGAGCCCCTTCTCCGGCTTGCTTCCCCCTTTTTGTCGCCGGCCTCCATTTCAGGCACTGAAGAGTTGAGGATATGATTACTTTTAAGGCTTCCTCTTGTGAATCCTGTGGGAGAACTAGGACCCTGGGATTCCCTCCTGCCAACCCCTCCCTCACTCGCACCCTCTTGCCATGGCCTCCTCTCCAGTATTTAAAACAACCATGGGTGCTCCCTGCCCAGGTATGGTGCTTCCTCCTCTGAAAAATGTAATCTGCCCTCATCGTGTCTGCTGTCACCGCTGGGAGCTGGGCCAGGTCTCATGTTTTGCCTCAGGGCCTCTCTGCTTTGCTTCCGTCTCGTTTTCCATGAACCCGGGCTCCCTCCCAGGACTGAAAGTGTATACTCTGCCCAGGCCACCCCCCCTATC